GGCAACAAATGTATAAGTGTGCTTTACACAATTGATCTATGTATTGTGATGAATTGTATGAGCCCCAATAAAATGATTAAAAATAAATAAAATAAAATGATCTACAGTCATAATCTAATTCTGATCCAAATCCCAGCACTATTCTTCAAAGAAAAACAAATCACCCACTTCATATGGGAAGGAAAGAAACCCAGGATAGGCAAAATACTACTTAAAAATATATAGAACACTTCTCACACTCTGATTTTAAAACCGATTACACAGTCATGTTAGTCAAGGTAGGTTGGTACTAGTGTAACAGTAGGTAAGTTGTAGACTAAAATATCAGATTAGACAACCCAGAAATAAATTCAAGCACCTACAGAAACCCGATTTTTGATAAAGGACTAAAACACATAAAATGGGAAAGAGGCACTTTTTTCAACAAATGGTGCTAGAAAAATTGAATCTCCATCTACAAAAGAATAAAACAGGACTCATACCTCACAGCATATACAAAAATAAACACAAGATGATTTAAAGACTTAAATATAAACCCTAGACTGGTGAAGATCATCAATGAAAAACTAGGAACAAATATAAAGGCCCTAATCCAAGGCATAAACACACTACCAAACATAATGAAAATCACCCACACTGTGGAAGACAAACTAGAGGACTGGGGCACCCTAGAAGTACAACACTTATGTTCATCAAAAGAGTTCGAGGGGAACCCACAGATTGATAGAAAAAATGGCAGTGATGTTGGAGCTAATCTCAAAGATGTATTGAAAACTGTAACATCTCAATAAAAAAAATGTAAGTAATCTAATTTAAAAATGGTCAGAAAGCATGTGTAGACAATTCATCAAAAACAACATCTAGATCATCAACACACATACAAAAAAATGCTCATGATCATAACTTACAAGAGAAATGCAAATTAAAACAACAATTAGATTTCCCCCTGGGTTTGCACTGGTAGCATATATATATATATATAATGGAAAATAACATGCTAGAGAAGTGGAGAGATTGGAGTCCTTATAAACTGTTGGTGGGATTGTAAAATTGTATAACCGCAATGTAAAAGAGTATGACATTTCCTTAAACAAATGTAAATAGAAGTATCATATGACCCAGTAATCTCTCTACTCCATATATGCCCCAAAGAAATAAAGAATAAAACATGAGGAGATCTATTCACACCCAATGTTTATCATAGTGGTACCCACAATAGCAAAAGGATAGAAACAATCAAAATGCCTTTCTGTCAAGGGATGGATAAATAAACTCTGGTGTATATACACACACAATGGAATATTATGCATGTCTAAGAAACAATGATGAAACTATTAAATGCCTCATGACATAGATGAATTTGGAAGACATTATGCTGAGCAAAGTTAAAGGGTATTTTGATTTCATAAAGATAAATACTATATCAGACCAGTATTATAAAAAGAAAAATAAAGAAAAAGAGTATTCACACCCAAAGAAGCAGACTTTGAAGCTTATAGTGAAGCTGAGGAGAGAGGAATAAGGGAATAAAAATGAGAAAAAACAATAAATAAATAGATAAGAGATACGCAGACACATACAGATACACATGCACAGACACAAACAAAAAAATGTTTTCTCGAATACTGGAGCGTAGAACAGGACCCAGTAGGAAGAAAGAAACTTAAAGCAGAATTTATTGCAAAATAGAAAAACATCCTTTCGCAATGTTTGAATCTATTTTTTTAATCTATTTTAAAAATGGAGTGAAGCACACCAGCTTGCGTGATCATGAGGTGCTGAAGGGATCAGTTATCAGGCATCAATGAACAAAAAATCATATCATTATGTGCTCGCCTCCCTGATACAATCCCTGAAGACAAATGGGTGCATAAGCAAATGTGGTGAAGAAAGCTGAAGGTACCTGGCTATCAAAAGATATAGCATCTGGAGTCTTAAAGGTAAACAAGGTGTTGAAGGGATCAGGTATCAGGCATCATCAGAACAAAAAAATCATATCATTGTGAATGAGGTGGAGGGCAGGGGTTGTGGAATGGAGACCCAAAGCCCATCTGTAGGCAATTGGACATCCCCTTATGGAAGGGTCGTGGGGAGCAGATGAGCCAGTCAGGGTGCAGTGTAGTAACGATGAAACATACAGCTTTCCTCTAGTTCCTAAATGCTTCCTTCCCCCACTATCATGATCCCAATTCTACCTTACAAATATGGCTAAACCAGAGGATGTACACTGGTACAGATAGGAACTGGAAACACAGGGAATCCAAGGCGAATGATACCTTCAGGACCAGTGGTGCCAGTGGAGATACCGGGAGGGTGGGTTGGAAAGGGACAACCCATTATAAGGATGTATATATAACCTCCTCCCTGGGGGACAGACAACAGAAGAGTGGGTGAAGGGAGATGTCGGACATTGTAAAATATGACAAAGTAATAGTTTATAAATTATCAAGGGTTCATGAGGTGGGGGGAGGGGGGGAAATGAGGAGCTGATGCCAAGGGCTTAAGTGGAGAGAAAATGTTTTGAGAATGATGAGGGCAATGAATGTACAAATGTGCTTCACACAATTGATGTATGTATGGGTTGTGATAAGAGTTGTACGAGCCCCCAATAAAATGATTTTTTTTAAAACTATAGTGATTCACTAACTTTAGTGTACAATGGAAGTTTTAAGATGTATACTTCTTCTTTTCTAAATTAAACTAAAATGCAAGAATAAAAAAAAGTGGAGTGAACTTGAACATCTCGAAGTTGTACCGTTTTTGAGAATTATTCTCAGGGATTTTTCAGTTTGAGGATTCCATTGAATGAAAGCAGCCACAGCAGTTTCATTTGAAGCTTGGTGTGTTGTTCGGTCAATTCCTAAAGCTCTTGAATAATTCAACGCTGACCCTTAAAGATTAATGGATATTTTGATTTGTACTCAAAGTGGCTTTCAGTAACATGGCAATAGCATCAGCACAACTTAGTTTTATACACGCACCATTTGAAATTGTGTGATTCTGGGTAGAATAATTTTACAAGGTTTGAATTATTTTAACAGATCACGTGCATGACGTGACAATTTACCAGTCCGTACAATATGGTACATTTGGATTTGCTTAATTTCATTCATATTGCATGTGTCAACCCAGTGTTCCACCTCAGCATCGGCATTTGGTTAGTTCTGGGCACTGTCTGGATGGACTTAGAAAGGGAGACTGCATTCAAGGAGGGTAAGCTGCTGCTTCATCTCTTCGAGGGAGGTAGACCCAACAAAAGTGAATGTGCTCAAATGTAGACCCAGGCTTATCAACCCCCCACCCACCCTACTCTTTCAATCTGTTTCTAATGTCTCTGGTGGAGTAGGGGTGGGGGGATGAGTAAGGTTGTTTTGTTTTTGTTTTTCACGTTCAATAAAATTAAGCTGCCATTGTACAGTGGCACTATTTTGGGTATGAAAAGTAACAATTCACTTAAAAATTTCAAAAACATTTTTTTAAGATGTTCTCATTCCGGAGTGGAAGAGCGTCTGGAAACTTCTTCTGCTAAGAAATTAACCGATATCGGAACTAGACGGATCTTTTCTTCTGAACATGATATTTTCCGGGAAAGTGTAAGAAAATTTTTTCAGGAAGAAGTCGTTCCTCATCACACAGAGTAAGTGGCACATTTCCCTTCACTGTCATGTGTCCCAGGAATGTGATAAGTACTGTTTTCTAACATGCTGCCTGTAGCTGTGTAAGAAAAGGTGTTCTGTGCTTGGTTGACACTTTTACTTCTCTTGGTCAAAATACTCTAGAACCCTGGGGTTATTAAGTGATTTCAGGGCTTTGTTAATGGATTTTAAAGTATACCATTCAAAAGGGAGATAATTCAGAAACTGTCCAGTTTAATTTAAGAATAGTATATGAGGTTTCAAGAAGTTTGTGGAAGTGGAAGTTACTAGAAATTTCAAGAGCGTGAGACACCTGGCCTCTGGTTGCTTACCGTCGTGTGGCATATAAATAGAGAGTGGATTCACCATGGGTGATACTGAGAAGGGCAAATTGATTTTTGTTCACAAGTGTGCCCATTGCCACACTGTAGAAAAAGGTGGACGCAAATTTCTATCAAACATTTAAAAGTTTGATCAGAGTCATTTAACCATTTCCAATCTTTAATTTAAAGCTGTCCAACCAAAATATTATGTCAGTCATTCATGATCTGATTTCTGGTGTATCAATTTAAATATGGTACATGTAAAAAAATAGTCACAAGAAATTCCTATTTTATAATAAATAAAGCAGTGACCAACTATTACTCATTAGTAGCTTTCTTGAGGTAAGCTACCAAGTCTGCCCGTTCTCCCTTCTGAATGCCAGCAAAAATCATGCTTGTGCTGGGGATGTACTTCTTGGGCGTCTCCAAATATTCCATCAATATTTACTCTTCCCCAGGTGATACCTTTGCTCTTATTGGCATCCATGTAAGTGAATCCAGGAGCTTCCACCCAAACAACTATGCCTATTTGTCCCAGTCTTGTGTTTGTCCGCCTTTGCTACAGCATTCATATCTTCAGTGATCTCTTCATGAGGGTGAGCATCAAGCAGGCCCTGAAACTGTAACTCTTTACAGGAGGAGGACGCCTCATCTGTCTCCTGTGGAACAGCTTGTGGTTTTGAACTGCTGATGCATTATGCTCTGTTTTTAAATTATTTTAAAATAGCTTGACGTTAAATTTCTATTAATAATTTCTAAGGAAAGCCACAGCGCAGGACTTTTTAAGGTTGAGCAAATTCCCATGACTGTATGACAAAGCTAAAAGTGCACCCCCAAAACTCCGGCTGAGTGAAATTACAATGATAAATATCAGTGGTTTAATTTACAAGTGCAAAAAGTAATCAAAAGAGAGGGGAAAAGCGAAGTTGTAAATATGAAGAAGTAAGGAAGATAGAAGCTGGGGGAGACAACCCCCTTTCCCCAAGATGGCCCTTAGTCACACTTCAGGTTTGGACCTGAGCTCACCCCCTTGTTAAAATAACTAACCATTTGAGATAAAAAAGGGCAGCTTTACCCAAGGACAAAGTTCAGAGGGTTAGGAAAGAAGGAGGAATGGAAACCGGAAACACAGGGAGGGAGTGGGATGCGTGAGCATCCACTGAAGGAGTTACTATGAAACATGCAAACATGAATGTAAGACTGATGATCTTGCAAACCTTTACCCAATTCACAAGGAAGATTCAAACACAGGGTAAAGTGCATCCCTACAATAATTGCCTTAAATTAAAGAAGCCTTTTCCTATAAATCATTAATAAATCCCGTTGTGAATTTTTAAGTACTAGACAAAAATTTATCTGATGTTTAAATATGTTTTCTCTCCAGGTGGGAGAAAGCTGGAGAAGTGAGTAGGGAAGTTTGGGAAAAAGCCGGAAAGCAAGGGCTGCTGGGGGTCAATATTGCGGAGCGCCACGGCGGTATCGGCGGGGACTTGTTTTCGACAGCGGTTGTCTGGGAAGAGCAGTGAGTATCGGGCCTTTGTAGCTGTGTCTTCTGTAAGCACATTTCCCACTGTCTGAGATGACAGTGGCTTTCTGCTCTTGGGAGATTGAAAATAGTTTAAAGTGTGAAAGATGATGCTACTCACCTACTTTTACACATTTTTTAAGTGGGAAAGCAAGAGCATCTACATTTAAGTTTTTAAACAGGTATTGTTGAAAATTAAAAGGATAGCTATATTTAGATTAGCATAAGCAATTGTTTCCACCACCCCCTTTAAAAAGGTGATTGAAAGAAAACAGCTGAATGGAAAATGCCCTCATCAAATATGATAAAAGTTAATAAATTAGCAAAATCAAGCTTTAATTGATAAGTGGGCAAAAAGTTAGTTCAAACTATCAGAATAGAAAAAAATTTAAATCAAAAAGGTTTGTCTATGCTATCAATCTGATGAAAATTAAATTAATGTATAAATACCAATTTGAGTACAAAATTAGTGAAGATTCTAAAGTTGTAGTGGAAGTGACTGACTCATACACTCTGGGTTTCATTAAAATTAAATGATAAATGCTTTGGAAATTAAAACTGAGACTATATAAAAATTAAAATGTTTGCAAGATATGACAAAATATCCATTTATAAACTATCAAGGGCTCATGAGGGAGTGGGGAGTGGGGAGGGAGGGGAAAAATGAGGACCTAATGTCGGGGGTTTAAGTGGAGAGAAAATGTTTTGAGAAACAATGTACAAATGCGCTTTACACAATTGATGTGTGTATAGATTGGGATAACAGTTGTATGAGCCCATAATAAAATGTTTTAAAAAATATTAAAATGTTTATGCTCTTTGATCAACGACCTCACTTTTGGAAATTCTTAAGAAACTAATATAATTTCATAAGAAAAATAGAGCTTATGTGTAGAAATCATCATCAGATTACATTATAATTCCCCAACTTTGGAAGCAATGTACATGTTAGTCATAGGAGAATTAATAAGTAGATTACAGTTATAAAGAATTTGGAATTTATTCCAGCTATTTAAGATTACATCAATATATGCATAGAATAAATTGTGTATGTGATATAATTTAATGTAAAATGAAAAGAGGAAAATACAAAATGTTGTATACTATGATTGCAAGTATATTAGAATTTATCTTTACGACAAAGGTAATTTGCCCAAATGAAAATAGTAGTGGTGCTGGAGTAATGCAATTATAGGTAATTTTTTAATATATAAAGTACTGTATCTTTTAATTCATCAAATATGTGGTACAATTCTTTTACTGTGTTATAACAATAAATTAAAAGCTTAGCAAGAAGAAAAAAGAGTGAACATTTAAGAAGTTCATAGTTTCATGGGGAGATAGACTATTACATACCAAAGAGTAGGTTCCTTAATTATGATTGTTTTAAAATAGCAAATCAGAGAAACTAAAAATAGATTAAACTAACTATTTCGGGTCTTTTTCTTCTTCTTCAAGAGCATATTCTAACTGCACGGGCCCAGGCTTTAGTCTTCACTCGGATATTGTCATGCCCTATATCGCAAACTATGGCTCCGAAGAGCAGATTAAGCACTTCATCCCCCAGATGACTGCAGGCAAATGTATTGGTGCAATAGCAATGACTGAACCTGGGGCTGGAAGGTAAGCTACCAGTGCCAGAAGGATAACAAATCAGACAGCTATTGAGGGAGACAAGGGACCATCTAGAGCAGAGGCTACGAGAGGGGAGGAAAGTAGCAGCTGGTAAAGAAGAGTAATAGAGTGCCAAGGAATGATGGGGAGAAAGAAAGAAAGGGCACGTGGGAGACAAAGCGAAGGGAGAAGGGAATGGTTAATTCTGTCTCACTCTCCGTATTCCTGCTGTGAATTAAATGGGAATCAGACATCTTATTTTGTGCCATTCCAAATTTGTATAATTGATATGATGCTGTAAAATTTTCCATTAGCCATTCAATGCTTAAACCCATCATGCTAACAGGGCTTCTTTTGGTACTGCACATTTTATCAATACTTTTATGCCATTTTCTTTTTTAGTAATCACAATAGTGTTGTAACAGTTAACTGCCATCAATTGAAACATTGTGAATCCTGCACCATCCTCACAATTGCAAATCACAATAATACCATGCAGAATATAGAGATATTACCATATTCCCACCTAATGTCCACAATATGTTCTGTGGAATAGGGTGTGATGAGAGTTGGATATTGTGCAAGCACCATATTACATACAGGCAGTCCCCATAAATATCCAGTTAAACGCTCCAAGTTTATTAAAACTTTATGGAAGCCTGTGGGCCAAAAGGATACCCCAAAGGAATGGGAGGCTGGCCTTGCTAGTGAGCCAGGCCGGGACTTGGACCTCACCTCCAGGACTTGGGTGGTAGACAGGAGCCAGAGAGGAGTCCATGAGGACCAGGTGGGCAGTACCAGGAGGGCAGCTGGTGGTGGTGATCCTAGCTGCTGCAGCCCTCCTGGTGCAGATGCAAAGATGTCACTTTGAAGTCTGTGCTGCAGCTGACGGAAGCCAAGATATTTTCAATCGTTCATAAGCCTGTGAAAGTCTGATCATGAATAAGGATGAGCAAAGAAGAATTCATGCCTTTGGGTTTTATTATCGGCAAAGATTAGTGAATATACTATGGACTGCTGGCAAAGCACACACATCTGTGTGGAAGAAGGACAGGCTGGAATGCTCTTCTGCAGCCAGGATGGCAAGGCTTCTTCTCACATACTTTGGACAGATTATCAGGAGGGGCCAGTCCCTGAAAGAGGACCTCTTGATGGGTCGAGGAGAAGAGGAAAACTTGGCAGACTCTCAAGGAATGGATTGACACGGGCTACAACATGGGGTGCAAACATAGCAACAATGGTGAGGCTGGTGCAGGCTGGGATGGTGCTTTGTTCTGTTGGGCGTGGGTCTCTCTGAGTCAGAATGGACTTTGTAGCACCTAATAACAGCAGGGCCTGTGAGGAGGACATGTAGTCTGCTCCCACGATGTGGAGTCTTCCGTATGGGTCAGTTAGATCTAGTTGGGTCATGATGTTATTCTAATCTTCTACTTCATCCTGGATCTTCTTCCTAGCTGTTCACATGATTAAAAGTGGAGTGATGGAAGTTTTCAAGTGCTGATGTTGAACTCTATTTCTCTCTTCAAAGCTGTAAATATTTGATCTGTATACAAGGTGGTACCCAAAACACCCCAGGATTCCTCCCCACCCCACCCCCCACCAAACCCATGTACTTAATTTTTATACAAAACAGCCTTATCATCTCCATTGTAGTTTTTTTTTTAAATCACTTTATTGGGGGCTCGTACAACTCTTATCACAATCCATACATACATCCATTGTATAAAGTACATTTGTTTCCCTCATTATTCTCAAAGCATTTGCTTTCTACTTGAGCCCTTGGTATCGGCTCCTCATTTTTTCCCCTTTCTCCCAGGTCCCCCCTCCCCCATGAACCCTTCATAATTCATAAATTATTATTATTTTGTCATATCTGATAGCATCCGACGTCTCCCTTCACCCACTTCTCCACTGTCCGACCACAGGGAGGAGGTTACATGTAGATACCTGTAATTAGTTCCCCCTTTCTCCCTCACCTTCCCTCCCCCATCCCAGTATGGCCACTCTCACCACTGGTCCTGAGGGGTTCATCTGTCCTGGATTCCCTGTGTTTCCAGTTCCTATCTGTACCAGTGGATATCCACCGGTCCAGCCGGATTTTTTTTTTCTGTAACAGTCCATTTGTTATAATACTAAATATTTAAAACTATGGGCCCCAAATTAATCACATGGAAAATAATCTTACCATTGCTTTTGAAATCAGAAGACTGATATTTTCCCTAGTTTTCTCTATATCAATCCTTAAGATCCTTAGTTTGCTTAGGTTTGGGGTCACTAGGAAATATATCAAAGTAATCTCAAACTTTCCAAAAGTAAAATTAGTCATATATTTTTAGAACATGGACTCTTATTTCCCTCTTATTTTAAAAGGCATATTGACATAGCCATAGATACATGGTTAAGAAGAAATATAATTTAACTTATGAACACAGGTTATTGTTTCGTGATGAGATTAAGTCTTTTTCTTTTTACTTAAGATTTCCAGTTTTTATCATTATCATGTTATTTTTTTTTAATCATTTTATTGGGGCTCGTGCAACTCTTATCACAATCCATACATACATACATCGTGTCAAGCACATTTGTACATTTGTTGCCATCATCATTCTCAAAACATTTGCTCTCCACTTACGCCCCTGGCATCAGCTTTTTATTTTCCCCTCCCTCTCCGCTCCCCCCTCCCTCATGAATCCATGATAATTTATAAATTATTTTGTCATATCTTGTTCTTGCTGGTGTCTCCCTTCACCCGCTTTTCTGTTGTCCATCCCCCAGGAAGGAGGTGATATGTAGATCCTTGTAATCAGTTCCCCCTTTCCACTCCACACTCCCTCCGCCCTCCCGGTATCGCCTCTCTCACCACTGGTTCTGAAGGGATCATCTGCCCTGGATTCCCTGTGTTTCCAGTTCCGATCTGTACCAGTGTACATCCTCTGATCTAGCCAGATTTGTAAGGTATAATTGGGATCATGGGGGTTGGGGAGAGGAAGCATTTAGGAACTAGAGGACAGTTGTATGTTTCATCGTTGCTACACTGCCCCCTGACAGTCTCATCTCCTCCCTCGCGGCCCTTCTGCAAGGGGATGTCCAATTGCCCACAGATTGGCCCTGAGTCCCCACTCTTCACTCCCCCTCATTCACAATGCTATTGTTTGTTCTTTTGGTCCCTGATGCCTGATACCTGATCCCTTCAATGCCGTGTGATCTCACAGGCTGGTGTGCTTCGTCCATGTGGGCTTTGTTTTTCTCAGTTAGATAGGACCCCAGACGCTATATCTTTTGATAGCCAGCCACCATCAGCTTTCTTCACCACATTTGCTTCTGCACCTGCTTTGTATTCAGCGATCATGTTGGGATAGGCTGGTGTGCTTCTTCCATATGGGTTTTGTTGTTTCTCAGCTAGATGGCCGCCTGTTTATCTTCAGGCCTTTAAAACCACAGATGCTATATCTTTTGATAGCCAGGCACTATCAGCTTTCTTCACCACATTTGCTTGTGCACCCATTGTCTTCAGCAATTGTGCCAGGAAGGTGAGCATCTCAGATTGCCAGATTGTTAGAACAAAGTGTTCTTGTGTTGAGGGAGGCCTTGAATAGGGGCCCACTTAATACTAAACCTATAAATATATGTACATAGATCTCTTTCCCCCTCTTCATATATAAATATATTTACATCTGTATATGCCTGTATTTAGATCTCTATAAATGCCTTTTGCCTCTTAGTTCTTTCCTCTATTTCTTTGTACTTTCCTCTTGTCCCACTATCATGTTCCATTGCACTTTTATACATTTGTCAACTCTGCAATTCCATTCTTGGAAACAGTTTTCAAACTCAGCTTTTTAATGGCTGACAGCACCTCTTGTTTTTTTCTTCACCTCTTCTGTGTCATCAAATCACTTTCCTTTCATGTCCTTCTGCATTTGTGGAAACAAAAAGGAAGTTGCATGGAGTGAGGTCCGGTGAGTAAGGTGCTTGAGGCAAGAGAAGCATGCTGGGGGTTTTTTTGGCCAAAAACTGGCACACTGAAATGGCTACATGAACAAATGCATTGTCGTGGTGGCAAAACCAGCCCCCCTTCTGCCACAAATCAGGCCCTTTTTGTCACACACAGTTATGTAATCTTTTCAGAACCTCTAAATAGAAAGCTTGATTAATAGTCTGACCTGGTGAAGTGAACTTCAAATGCACTGCAAATTGACATTTTCATCCATTTGGGAAGTTGACAGACATCCAGAATGAGGTTTGTCATCAATCGATATTTCACATTTTGGGGAAACGAGAAGACCACTTGTACTCTTGAGCGTTTCCCATATTGCTGTCCTTATAAGCTGTGTTCAACATCACAGCAGTTTCTGCAGCACTTTTCCTGAGCAGGGAACAAAATTTCACAGCCACATGCTCTTCTCTTAAATCGCCCTTCACAAAAAACAATGTCCAAATGAAACTGCTTTTAAGAAAAAGTTCACTGTGACCAGAGAGAACTTTCCCAGGTGACACCACAAAGTGGGCGTGAGTTGCTCAATGTTCACCTGGTGGGAAAAATGTGTACCATGAAACCTCTGCTCCACCCAGCGCAATTCCAGGTTTTTGGGTACCCCCTTGTGTATTTGAATTCTACTGCTAGGTGTGTATCTGTTTATAGTTTCTATAATTTCTTAGACAGTTGACCCTATACATATATAAATATGTAATGACTTTGTTTAAAGTCTATTTAGTCTGATATTAACATAATAACCTCATTTGTTTATTATTTCAATGGAGCATTTTTCCCCCCTCACTTTTCATTTTCGGTCAATTTTTTTCCTTTGGATCTAAAATTAGTATCTTGTAGATAGCATATAGCTAGATCAATTTTTAAAATTCATTCATTTATATTTAAAATACAAACTGATAAGGAGGGACTACTTCTACCAATTAGCTATGTGTTTTCTGTGTTTCTTAAGACTTTTTTGCCCCTCCTTTCTTCCATTATTGCCTTCTTGTAATACCAATTTTATTTTGGTTGATCTAATTACTTATAATGGAGAGCTTGACTTCCTTCTATGGCTTTTCATTATCTTCTATTTCATCTCAAAGTTCAACATACAAGAGCCCCTTGACCATTTTGTGGGGGCAGTTACAGTTATCCTCTATTCATTTTGGTTTACCTGAGAATGTCTTAATGTCTACCTCCTTCCTGAAGGACTGGATACAGAAAGAATTCTTGGTTGACAGGTTGTTGGTTGTGTTAGGCTGGGTACATTAGAGAAACAAATCCACAGAAACTCATATGTATAAGAGAGAGTTTTATGTAAAGGGTAAGTGCACATCAAGAAAACATCCCAACCCAGTGCTGCCCAAGCCCACAAGTCCAACATTAGCCCATATGTCTGACACCAATCCACAAAGTCTTCCTCCATCTCACAAAACACATACAATGATGCCGACTGCAGGAGGAAAGCCGAGTCAGTGAATGTGTAAGCATCTCAGCGCTGGCAGGGGTCTCCACACAGCTGGCTGCTCCAGCACCCAGGGCTGCATCGGGGTAGGTCTATGTGGCTTCTCCTCAGGGATGTCTTGCAGGAAGTGAGCCTTGCCAGCTAACACAGGGAACTGGCTAAGGCAGTTGCACCCTGGTCCGACCATCAGAAAGCAAGAAACCTGAGAACTAGAAAGGCGAGGCTCACTGAGCCATTTATCCCTTCACCCTTCAATTAGCCCCACATGTGTTTACCAGCCAGATTGGCACAATAAACTTTAACTATACATTGGTCTCCTCAGCACCCCAACATTTTAATTAGGTCATCCCACTCCCTGGTTTCTGGTGGAAATTTGATGCATGATTTTATTGAGAGCCCCTTGTCCATGGCAAATTGCTTCTCTCCTCAAGACTTTCCCTCTGGCTTTGTCTTTCTGTCGTGTGATCATAATGTGCCTCAGTGTGGATCCCTCTTGAGTTTATTCTACTCAAGTGCATTGAGTTTCTTGATTTATGTGTTTGATCCAATTTTAAAAGTTTTTAGTCATTGTTTCTTCTCATCCTTTCCTTTCTCTCTGCTCCTTCTGGAATTCACATAGTGAATTTGTTAATCCATTTGTTGATGTTCTCTAGGTCTTGGGTTCTGTTCTTTTTTTTTTTCCTGTTCAGACTGGTAATTCCAATTGTCTTTTTTTTTTTTCTCTCTCTCCAATTGCCTTATCTTCAAGCTCATATGTTCTTTTTTCTTCCTGTTCATATCTATTGTGAAGCCACCACTCTAGTGATTTTTTTACTTCAATTATTATATTTTTTGGCTTCACAGTTAGTATAAATTTTTTATAATTTTATCTCTTTATTGATAGTCCATTAGTTCTTTGTTCATGTTACTTTTTATCATATTAAAAATAGCTATTTAAAAAAAACAGCTATTTTTTTAGTAAAATTCAATGTGTAGGCTTCCTCAGGAATGATGTCTATTGCTTTCTTTTGTTCATTTAAATGGGTCTTACTTTTCTGTTTCTCCATATACCTTGTGATTTTTTTCACTAGGAATTGGAGATTTAAATATTATAATATGGTAACTCTGTAAATCAGATATGCCCTTTTCTCTGATTTTCTGGGTGCTTTGTTTTGTTTTTTGATTGTTGAAGAGCTTTCCAAACTACTTTTACAGAAACGGTGTTCCTTGATTTGTGCAGTTACTGGAGTCTGCTCCTTTAGCTCATGTTCAGCTAGTGTTTTGACAGATACGTCCTTGAATAGGAAGAGGATTTTTTGGTGTTGTTTTAATAAAATCTTTAAAAACAAGAGAAAACAAAAAATCACCACTTAACCTTGTTTCACCTTGGCCTGTGGTGGAGCATTCCCCCAGTACTTGTTCTGCTTTCACTGAGCCTTGAAACAGAGTTTTCTCAGGCCTTTTCTGAGTATGTCTCGCACTTTGCGTCTGGCATGACATTTGAAATTCCCTCATATATACTAATGCTTTTAATTCTCCAGAAACTCTGAGTATATGCCTTGAGGCCACATCTGACCTTCTCTGATGACACAAGGAAGGAGAATCCATCCCCACACCAGCCCAAGGTCGATTGTCACAAGGCAGAGGTCAGACATGCTTCTACCCTCCACCTTCCTCTACCCGACTCTGACACCAACCCTCCCTCCCAAGACACTCTCCTTTTCTGCTGGGTTTAATAATAGGTTGCAATAGTGACACAGAACTCACAGACAACACAATTATTGGAGATTATTAAAGAAATCAACAGGTTACAACAAATCCGGATAAAAAAACCTGGTGGATACAGTCGTTGGTCCACAGAAGCCAAGTCTCTCGCTTCGTCCTCAGCCTCCCAGTCATGTGATCCCTGAACCTCTACATTTCTGTGGGCCAGGAAGCCCACCTGACGCTCTGCCTCACATTCTCATCATCTCGACACTGTTTCTCTGCGCTGCCTCCTGGTCTCCTTGCCTTGGTATGGCCTGAGTCACCTCCACCATTTCAGGAGGCAGGAATTTCAAATATGCTCTGTTGATGCCTCTTCTTCCTAATGGTCCCGGGAATTCTCTCTTCCTGCTTCTAACATGGCTCCCTTACACATGGGGGAATGGCACTCCAAGCTGACCAGTCCATATTGTTAGTGTTTCACATGCCTGTGTGCGCAGTCCCACTCAACCATTCTGGGAGAGTCACAGAGACATGGATTGCTGTGGCGGTTAGGTGCCACTGAGTCCGTCCCCAGTCATAGTGACCCGGTGTACAACAGAATGAACCACTGCTAGGTCCGGAGACAGCCTCTCAATTGTGCTTTTGTTTGAGCCTATTGTTGCAGCCATTGTGTGAATCCACCTTGTCAGGAGCCTTCCTCTTTTTGGGCTGCCCCTGTACTTGACCACCTCTCATGTGTTAGTCTGAGGTGCTGGGTGGCTGGTGTGTTGCTGTGATGCTGGACGCTAGTCACTGTTATTTCAAATACCAATAGAGCCTCCCAAACTGAATAGGTTTCTGCAAGAACTTCCCTGTTCTTGAGTCATGGTTCCCTTGAGCACAATAAACTTTGACCACTTTTCACAGTTCTGGCAAAGTTACTTCTGATGGTTTATGCTTGGTTTATTGTTTTTGTTTTTTTTTTTGTTTGTTTAGTGTTTTCCTGTGGAGGAGAGAAGAGCTTGAAGTTTCCTCTGCCATCTTTCTGATCTCTTCACCAAGTAGCTGAGCATTTGATTAATGGAGATAAGAAAGTACCTGGTAGCAAAAAACCCCAGGGACACAATGACCTTGAATTAGAATGCTAGTTGGATCTTAGTATCTTCTTTAAAAATCAGCCTAGTTTCTGTAATCTCAATCATATATTCATTGCTACAAGTGCTTTAACATATTGAGTTAGTTAATTGTGCCAACCTGGTCGATAATCACATGTCGGGCTAATTGAAAGGCTAAGGGATAAATGGGTGGTGAGCCTCGCCTGTCTAGTTCTCAGGTCTCTTGCTTTGTGATGGTTGCACCAGGGTGCAGCTGCCTTAGCAGTTCCCTGCTTCAGCTTGCAAGATTGACTTCCTACAAGACATCCCCAAGGAGAAGCCACATGAACCTATCCCGATGCAGCCCTGGGTGCTGGAGCAGCCATGTGGAGACCCCTGCTAGGCTGAGATGCTTATACGTTCACTGACTCGGCTTTCCTCCTGCAGTCGGCATCATTGCCTCTGTTTTGTGAGGTGGAGGACTTTGTGGACTGGTGTTGGGTTAATGGGTTACTGTTGGACTTGTGGGCTTGGGCAGCATTGGGTTGGGATGTTTTCATGATGCAAATTTTCTTTACATAAAACTCTCTTATACATGAGTTGCTATGGATTTGTTTCTCCAAAGTACCTAGACTAATACACATATAATATACCAAACAGGGCCTTTCAGTCAAGTTTGCAACTATTTTTATATCCAAGATCAGTATTAATAATGGTATAAGTAGTATGAAACTTCACGTTGCATACAGCCCCCTAACAATATTTGCATTAATCAATTTTTGCCAGTTGATGACTTGTTCATCATTTCTATTACAGTGATTTACAAGGAGTAAGAACAAATGCCAAGAAGTCTGGGAGTGACTGGATTCTCAATGGAAGCAAGGTGTGTAAAGAGGGGTTTTCACAGCCCTTCTCTCCAGTCAGGCCTTAGATCACAGTGTCTCACAGACTACTCAGTATGGAGTCTGCCAACGCCAGGGACTCACACAAGAACTGGGTTTGCCTCCACTGTTTCTGAGACAGTCAGAAAGTTACATTTCTAAGACACCAATGCCGTGGTAACTTCTATATTCTAGTGTGCATGTCCCCACGCTGATGTGGCAGAGGTTGGTTTAGCTGACAAACAACCTTCTCAACCTAGAAGAGGTGAAGCTAAGGCTCGCATGACCAATTATAGAGCCAACAGCAAATAAACCTTGTGTTGATGATTGGCTGGGGGAACGGTTTTTCTAGTAAATATAAAGAAGAGTTTTAGAAGATCCTAAGAGAGAAAGGCATCATGGAAGGGTTTGAGAGCCCCTCTGTCCTTCTGACAGCCATGGTGGCCCAGTGGTAAAACACTCAGTTTGCTAACTGAAAGGTCAACCTGTCCTTCTGACAGCCATGGTGGCCCAGT